AAATCTGCAATGCAATTCTTAAATTTGGGAAATTATAAATGTTAGCAAATCAGTGGCAACTATTGGTTCAGGAAAAAAATTCTTTTACTTATCAACATTCTACAGTCTTTAATTTTTCTGTACAATTCTGGTCCATCAATAACACCTGGATAGCTCTTTGCTAATTCAGAACATTTTTCTTGCAATTTTCAGTCTTCGAAATCTCCAGAAACAATATTTTGCACATCTAGTAGAAATCCAAACCATGAATCTAAATCTAGTAAGCGAGAAAATCTTCCTGTTATTTCTGTAATCAAGCGATCAATAACAACCTTCATGATGCGATAAATTTCCTGTTCGTCAGTCAATCCAGCATTAGCTGCATTTTCACCTGGCATTCGTTTACTAAGTATTTTTCTTCTTTCAATGATCAATCTTCATGTTTTACATTGATTCTTGCCCACTTTAAGTGCTTCTTGACAGGACTTTTCACGTGATTCTATCAATTTCTCTTTCAAAGAATCAAGATCAGCAGCTGCTTCTCTAAAATTCATTTTTGGCTTCTGAAGACGTTTCTGCACTCGATTGATAGATGTTAAAAGAATTCTCAAAAAATGCAAAAGTACAAGAAAATCCAATGTAAGCATGCATTGCAGTATATTATGAGCACCACATTTTGTTTCAGCCGTGTTGCCATTCTCACTTAATTGCTCTAACAGTCCTAGCAATTCATCCAGTTTTTCGTGTACAACTTTTACTGCCTTTTCTCTTGCACTCCACCGTGTTTCTGATTCACGCTTGACAGAGAACTTAGCTCCTGCTGCAGTTCGTCCCATCGAGTTGTTGAATGAGCAAATAAATTATAAATGGCTTCAATTATGCCAAAAAAGGTAATAACTGTTAATTCCTGACTTGCAGCATGAAGACATGCTGATATCAAACTATGGTTGTCACAGTTTATAAATACAGCTTTTGGATTTTTGTTCAGAATTCTTTGTTGAACGCCTGACAGATGACCTGATATGACAGCAGCATTATCATAACATTGTGAACAACATTCACTCAATAACATTCTATCCGCTTTTAATTTTGTGCTTATTGTTTTCTCAATATTGGCAGTGTCTTTTTCCTTTATTTGTATAAAGTCAATAAATGAATCTTTGACTTATACTTTTCTTGTCTAAAAGTCAATGTCAACAAACCGAATCACTTGGGCTAATTGCTCACGATGGGCTAAATCAGGCGTGGAATCAAACAGAATATCATAGTATTTGTTTCTACGAATTGCTGACAAACAATAATTTCGTACATGTGAAGCCATGAGATTTATGAACTCATTTTGGATTTCATGAGAAAGATAAGTTGTTGACGTTTGCTTGTTCTTAACATGCTCTAAATGCTCTCTCATTACTGGATCATACTTTGCTAATAACTCAAAAGTGGCAGGAAATTTCCAGGGTTTTCGTTTGAGGTTATGTCCTCAGTATGACCACGAAATGCAAGATTCTGAGAGGCTAAATATTGTATACAATCCAGCAACCGTCGCAGTATATCTCTCCATTTATTTTTTCTTGCTGAATTTGCCTTTGCAGCTCTTTATCAATGCCACTTTGAACACGAATTCGGCGCTCAGTTTCTTTCCAAGCAGCAAACGACTCACAATGACTGTCACTATTTTCATGGGCATTTAAGTTTTCAATTTGTTCCACTTACAGAATCCACCCTGTGTTTTGAAAGCAGGCCGACTAT